GAGAGAGAGCATACCTTTAATCTACATCCGAGTGGTATATGTTTTGTATGAGATATGTATGAATTGAATACAATATACGTTTTATTTGCGCTAATATATAGTGTCGAGGTTATGTGGATTATATATAATAATATTATAAAAAATATTATAATTCCATAATATATTGGAATTTTAATGATTAAATTGATTTCAAGAAATACAAGTAAAAATAGAGAAATAGCAATTAACGTGGACAAATTAAACCATAATATACACAAATATTTAGACCAATACTGACTGTTATATTCATTGATTTCCACATAAATTGCGTTCAATTCTCGTATAGTTTTTGTTGTAAACAAATAATTCATAAAATAATTAGCATTTGAATATTTCTTGAAACGTTGCTTGATTATAATATTAATTGAATTCAATTTGTGTGTTAAATAAAAAGAAATTATTTTGTAATAAATAATTAGATACACAAAAATGTTAAGACAATGGTAAGCAAATAATGATTCACATATTGTAACCGGCACACATATTAATATATAATATATAATATAATGTATATAATATTTCGTATCATTTATGTTTATATAAACAAATGATGCAAATGTGAAACAAATAATGAGGGAAATATAATTTAAAATATTTGCTAGTTTAAATAATTTTCTAGTAATCAGTGAGAGTTTGATTATTATTTTCTGGTCAGTGAGCTTGATGCATTTTGGTGAAATTAAACCACAAATCATTTGAAAAACTTTCAAATTGGTCGGTTTTATACCATTTCTATAGTTATAGTAATTCACGAGTTGTAGTGATAGTAAACATATTGACACTATTATAAGGAATATATTTTGGACAAAACCAGCATTTAAAAAATAATCTAAATTACCAAGTATCAAATGTAATAAGGGATGCATCGAAATGGATTTCACATATATATACACACATATAATACTTGCTATTAATCTCCACAAGAAAATAATTGATACGACATAAGGATTATAAAATACATGCCTTTTATGACAATAAATGGGTTTAAATAGTGATAAACCAATGCGATAGACATGACTGTCAGCACCCCTGATACGCCATTCCCGTGGTATTGGTTCAGACATATCTATATTATTATTATTATTCATTACTTACAATTATTTAATAAAACTATAATTTAATTAGTAATAAATATTTTTAAACACTAATATTATACTTTAATATTGACTATACTTATACAGAATATTCTGTAGTCCTAACAATCATAAGACTTTTCAGCTACATACATCTCATGTTAATATATAAATGATTATATTGTTATTATTCGTGACAAACATTTGTTAATATTATAATATAATTATTAGCTCTAAAACATTAAAAATATTATTGTGTCATTTATATTAAATAATATAATAATATGCTAGTGTACTAGTAATAGCAATAGTCTAATAGCAATAGTATGTGTAATAGTCTTTTAGCAAATTGAATTTATAAAGTAATATAAAAATTTTTATGTTTTAATTAAGTTTTTAGGAATTTTTTTAATTATTAGTTTTTAATATGAATGAATGAAAATTAATAGTTAAATTTGTATTTTTGTGTTTAATAAAATTATAACTTGCACTATCAAGGTCACTAATTTTTGTATCAAAAGTTTATATTACTAGTGTTGTGTACTTTTAATAAAATTAAAAATTTAATACATCGCTATTTTAAAGGTTTTGTTAACGCATGATTATAACTATATTAATATAAAATAATTTTTTAAACTGTATTCAAGTTATAAAATTATCTTACTAATTTTATAATTTAAATATTTTATTTAAATATTTATGTTAAATTATAATTAGTAATTTTATATTATTTTATTATTTTATATTTCACAATATTTTTCATATACCCAAGTATAATATAATACACATTATTTTAAGTATAATACAGTATAATTTTATACACAATATTTAAATTTTCAAACAATGCTCAAATATACATACATGTAAAAGGTAATAAATATAATATTAATATTAATTTTATTTTATAGATTATGTCACTCATCGAGATATTTTTGTTTGAAATTTAAATAAAGCCTAAAGTGACATATTCTTACCCAAACATATTTACATTACTTATAATTATTAATGTTTTTTACAATTATAAAAAATTAATTGTCGAGGTCATCAAATTTTAAATAGCTCTGTAAACAGATAGACAACAAATGACAAAATCTAAAATAAAAATAAAAATCAATTTTCTGTAATAAATTTTCAAACATTTCTCTATACATACTTTATAACCCTGGAAGCTATTAATAATAAATAGTGTCCAGCACCAAAACCCCACTTTTCGGACACCAATTCTTTCCGTTATATTTAATAACTGTTTTTTTTTAAAATTAAATTTAAATACGAGAATCATTTTAAAAATTAATTACAAAATTACCTTAAGTTTGGTAACAAGGGGTATATATTTCGTGTGAGATATGTATGAATTGAATACAATATACGTATTATTCGCACAAATATATAGTTTTGATGATAAATGTATTATATATAATAATATTGTTATATATAAAATAGTTGCATAATACATTGGTATTTTTACTATAATATTGATGTTGGCAAATAAAATTAAATAAATTGTCATGGATGTTATTGTGGATATAATGAACCAAAATATGCACAGACATTTGGACCAATACTGACTGTTATATTCATAGATCTCCACATAAATTGCATTCAATTCTCGTATTGTTTTTGTGATAAATAAATAATTCATAAAATAGTTAGCATGTGCATATTTTCGTATGCGACCACTAATTATAATATTAATTGTTTTTAATTTTGAAGTCAAATACACGGAAATAATTATATAATTAATGATTTGATACACAAATATTTTGAAACAGAAATAGGCAAATACTGAAATTTGAATAATTGCTGGTATGCCAATTAATATAAAATATACTAGGTCGTTAATTTGCATAAATACAGCAAATAAATATATAGCACAGAAAATAGGGAACATATTGTTTAATAATTTAGCTAGTCTAAATAAATGTCTACACATATTACAGAGTTTAATGATCAAAAGCTGGTCATTGATCTTGATACTTTTGGGTGCAATATAACCGCAAATCATTTGAAATACTCTCAAATCCGTGGGTTTTATATCATTTCTATAGTTATAGTAATTCACGAGTTGTAGTGATAATACACAGGTGGCTAATAATATAGTTATTGAATTTTGAACATAACCAATATTTATAAAATAATCTAAATCAGCCAGCACCAAATGCAATACAGGTAATAGTCTAGCTGATTTAAAATATAAATACACACAAGTACTGCATGCAAGCAATCTCCATATTATTGTCGTTAATATAAGCAATGGATTATGAAATTTGTGTCTTTTATGACAATAAATGGGTTTAAATAGTGATAAACCTATGCGATAGACATGACTGTCAGCACCCCTTACACGCCATTCCCGTGGTATGGGTTTATTTAAATCTATAATCTTGTTCATTATGATTAATTATGACTATAATATTTAAAAATAATTTTTTAAACTGCATTCAAGTTTGTTATAAATCTTACTAGTAAAATAAATCTATATTAAATATTTTTTATGTGAGTTACTACAGTATATTATGTCTAATTAAATTCTTGTGTAAATAAAATAAACATATTTTAGTAAATAATTTGGTAAAACATTTCATTTTAATTAATTTTTTCATTTTACTAATATTGACATTTATGTTAAATTATAATTAGTAATTTTTATATACGTATCTCACGGTATTTTTATATGCCCGAGTACACACTATCTAAATTTTCAATGAATCAATAATTAATCAAATAATATATACAAGCAAAAAATACACATTTTTGCTGATAATTCATATTTCAAATAAATATTTATTTAAATTAATTATGCTATTTTATATATTAAATAATCATTACAGCCTGATAGCCTATAACCTAAATAACCGAGATAATCAGGTTTATATGTAGTACTAGAACTTTAATATAAACAACATTGCTGATTATTTATATAATTTGTTGACTACACTGTTAGGGACTGTAAAGGAAAGTCGTATCAAAAAATTTATACATATTTTTTAAACATGGTTTCCGCAAAATTATTCCATTTATCCACACTTTTACTCGTAATACCGGTGCCCTACGTCCTAACCGTGGGTATATGCCCACCCGTTAGCATTGACATCAGCCCCTGTGTGTGCCAGGACGGCACCGGTAGCAACAGCACCGACACCACGCTATCGATAATCACTTGCACTGGCGATCAACCCTTTGATTTGGTCACCGTTTTCGACGTATTGGCCGCTAATATACCGCCGATTAATAAGGATTTCGATGTGTTTTACTTGAACTACCCGTCCCTCGAGGCACTGGTAGGGGATGGTCTGTTCCACGACATAACCTTCCGGCACATGTATGTTGTGAATGCCCTCAAACTCGCGCGTATCGACCCTAACGTGTTCGCGGGTCCACTGGAGACTACCCTAAAGCGCTTACACCTGAGGGACAGTAGTCTTAACGTGAATACCGATAACTATACGGATCTACAAGTGTTTGATAGACTCAAGGCCCTGGAGGTGCTGGATGTGAGCGCAGCTACCTGTCCACCGGAAAGCCTATTCACTGGTAGTCATTGTAAGTGCGAGAATGTGCCTCAAGAAGTGGACGATAAGGACAGGGATGTCAGTGAACAGTACCGCACAGTCATTACGTGCGTAGGTGTGGCCGAAAGCCAGGAACTACAGGCGCTATTCAGTAAACTGTCCACTAGTTTGAAGGGAAATACGCGTAATATCTATGGGTTTGTGTTGATGGACTCAAACATCACCCGATTATCTACCGGTGCTTTCTATGGTATAGCCTTTCAGGAGATCCACATCAAGGACTGTCCACTACTAACAACTGTGGACAGGGATGTGTTCGCCGCTATCGCGCCGTTTGTTAATAAACTGCATATAAGTAACGTTAACTTCAGCGACGCTACCGGTGATGAGCACTGGTATGCGTTGAGTAGTTTGCCTAATCTGGTGGCACTGGATATGGTGAACGTGTTTCGCGAGATACCGGCCCACGCTTTCCAGACAGTGGGGAACAGTACGCAATGGAGGCTCAGGTGGTTCACCCACGCCGGCCATGAGAGTATAGCCGCGTCGGGGGCTAGGATTCACAGCGTCGGTAGCTATGCCTTTGAGGTGTTGCCTAATATCGAGGTTAGTTTTGATGGGAACTGTAAATTAATAGATACATAATATTTAGCAAGTATAAATAAGTTAGCAATTATTATTTTGGAAACAAATATGGCAGACTATTTACTCTCTCTCTCTCTCTCACTCTCTCACTACCACTACTCACTCACTCACTCATAAGCTTATTATAAACTGTAAATAAGTAATTATCCAGATTTTATAAAATACAAATGTGTCGATATCTGATTGTTATATTGGTTTGAGATTACAGTAGAATTTTATAAAACCCCCTTTCCCCTATTATATCTCCCACAAATATTCACACAAGCCAGAATATTTAACTAGTATTAGCTAAAATTGAAACCAAGTTATCCCGATTACATCAAAGGGCTAAAATTGTTTGATAAATCGATCATATTTTGTTATCCAAAGTAAATGAGTTTTTCAATTTAAATGCAACTTAATAGTACAAGTTATGTACAAATTAATGTTATTAAAATATCATTAAATTCATTACAAAAACTATTACCATGCTTCGACAGTACATTATTAAATAGTAATAAATTATTAACTAATTTGTTACACCTAGTTAATCTACCATAGCATATAAAAGTAAACTTAGTAATTATATTTAAAACACAATATGTTAACTATTAGCCACTACCTTGTAATTAGTATCACACACATCCCTTTCTACCAACCACCCAGGTCATAAACCTGCAAAACAACCTGATCACCCGTATAGACAAATACGCGTTCGCCAACCAGTCGCCCACCACCCGGCGCCTAACCATACGTCTGGCCCGCAATCGCCTCCACTCCCAGTCCTTCGCCATCGGCTCGTTCGCCGGCAGCCGACGGCCCGTACGGCTCGAGTTGGGCCAACCGTTCATCGGCTGCAACCGAGAGCTCCTGTACCTAAACGAGTCGGTATTCTCGCCGTTCCTGGACAGGGAGGGCAACCAACTGGACATGGGCTGCGCCTTTGCCATGCAGTGCGAGTGCCAGACCATGAAATGGCTGTACGACTGTCCCCACCATTGGCGGGAACGGGTAGTTTGCGGTCCGTTTGGCGATCTGGTGGTGCCGTGTCTGGTGGACGTGGGGGACGGGGAGGACAGTGGTGTCGAGGAGGTGTCCATTTGGGATGTTAAGGAGGATTACTTTCAGTGCGGCGCCGGTAGTGCGAGGAATGGTAGTATAGGTGGCAGTGATGAGGAGGTGTCGACCACTTCACAGGAGTTGGGCGTTGAGGACAGTGAGGCCGAGAATGATGTTTGAGGGGCGCAGTGGACAGGGATGTCACGGACAGGCTGTTTATTGTGTTGTTGATAGTTATTAATGTATTATATAAACAGGAAATTAGTATTTTGTGTGTAATTTTTGATCAGTGTAATCTAATCTAAATTTAATGTAAACTTTATTTTATTAACCGTCATTAAAATATTGATTATTTTATTTAAAAATAAAATCTATTGACAAGTAGTTACTGGCTTATTGAACTAATTAAGCATGATCATGATTATAATATAGCTGTAAAAATAAATTCTTAATTAAAAAATTAAAAATAGATTATTAGTTATTATATTATTCTTAATAAATTATTAATACTATACATAACAATATGTTTTTATACTTGTTTACAATACAAGTAATTATTTTTGGAAAAAATTTCTATAAGTCTATGGAGACTGTAGTTAAGGAGCTAATTAGAAATGGCATACATATTTAATGTTATTAAATTGTTTAATGTATCTAGGTTCTGTATAAGGCAATACTATTAAAATGAGAATTTATAATAGCAGATTTAATAAAGTTAACTTTCAAAAAGTATAGTAGTTACGGGCTTATTAAACTAATTAAGCATAATCATGATTATAATCTAGCTAGAGAAATAAAATCGATATATTTTGTTATTTAATTAACGTGAACATTTTTACCGTAATTAAAAATTTAAAAATAGATTATTAATCATTACTTGCAATAATAAATTACTATATTGAATATGACAATATGTTTTTATACTTTTATGTGAACATACAGATAATTATTTCTAGAAAAAAATAATTAAAATTATAGTAATAATAAAATCAATAGAAATAAACTTTAAAACTTATAATTATTTTTAAAACATTGTATATTTAATTAATACTAAATTCTACATAAATATAATATAATAAAAAAAATATAATTACTGTATTTGCATCATAAAACTTTATTCAAAATTAAATAATAATAAAAACAAAAAATAATTTGTATTAAATTGCAATACACTTTAAAACTAACATCCGGGTGTTAGTCATCCCAGGCCACGATACCGCACGCTACCGGTGGGCCGGCATTACCGGTTTCCAGCGACTTATCATTACCACCCTGACCCAGATCATCGCGGCCTGCGTGTACCAGCACCGCCCTACCCACGATACTAGCATCGCCATGTAGCTCAATGAACGAGTTGTTAATATACACGTTGGCCACACCGGTATCCCCGGCGATCACGTTGCCAAAGTCACCGGTATGTCCGTTGGAGTCGTTACGAGCACCATGGTAACTGCCATTTAAGTGGACATCAAAATGACCGCCCGCTGATTGACATCCCAGGAATAGGTCCCCGAACTGGTGTATGTGAATGCCGTGGGGCCCCTTCACTAGGCCCTCGATCGTGCCCCGGATATTGACTTTGCCCTGCTCATTCTCGCGGAACCGTAGGTTCCCGCTCACGCCCGACTTGCCCCGTATGATGGCTATGGCGTGATGTAGGAGCCCCACGTGTTGGCTGCGGGTGACGGCCACGTACGCCAACAGTACGGTACATAGGAGTGTGATTGGCCCCCAATTGTTCAACATCATTTTGTATTCGTGGTGTACTGTATTAGAAACTAGGTAATGGATTAACTTAATCCTTAATTTAGGCAAAAATAGTTTTTAAAAATACTTTTTTAATGGAGTTAATTAACTAGCAAATATGGTTTATTAATTGGGTAATAGTATATTAATTATTAGTTTTTATTAATTACAAGTTTTTATACATGCCCTCTTATTGTATATATTTATGCTTGCTACATAAGTAATTATTTGCATTAAATTTTGTTAATGATTAATGTAAAATAAAATAAATAGATTTTAGTTAATGGCAGCACAGTTTGTATACCGTTCGCCTCCCGGTACCTGAATTCACTATAATTAATGTTATTTAAACAGGGTATTAAAATTAATAGAATATAATTAATGATTAACGTTATTTGTACGGAGCGTTCACTGCTTACGAGCGGCTGATTGTGCACTCAAACGCCGTGTAATGTATTTCACACCACCGTATGAATCAAATCGTTATCTATGGGCGACTCATTGGTTTCAATACAGTTTACACTCTGTTTGCGTACAAATAATTATATTTAATGACCTGGTTAAGTAAATATGACTAATTAAATAGATAAAAATGAAATAATTAAATCTAAATTTATTGTTAATGTAATGCCTGGGTAATTTTACTCGTGATATGAAAATTCATATACATATAGTATAAGTACGACCACGTGTTCAGTGTATCGCAAACCACGTGCGCTATCCGTATGTCATGTAAACAAACAGCGGTTTTGTAATGAGATTTACTATGGATTTAAGTGTTTGTTAAGTAAATTATTACCCGGATTATAGTTGTACGGATAGTATCAGGCACAAATGTTGACAATCAATGCACACATATGCCGGTGTTGTCTGAGAAATGTTGAGTTTATCGCAAATACCGCTAAATGTGAGTAAAATTTGCAAAAGTTTTGAAACTTTTTTGCATTTGATTTGTAATTAGATTTAGTTTTTAGCCATAAATTAGTGTTAAGTCTCTCTCTCTCTCTCTCTCTCTAAAAACGAAATTAAAAATCAAATTAATTAAAACAAAACCAAAAAACTGATAAATACTTCGGTATTTCA